ATACCAGTTGTCAATATTTTAAAGACATGGATATCATCATCTTATTTAATCTCCTATCAACATCAAGTTAAACAATACAAATTTAAATTATTTGTTTATAATAGATTAGATGTAAGGTCCGGAGTTCCCCAGGGCTCAATTTTGGGACTAGTCTTAACTATACTGTATATCAGTGATATTAAAGAATGTATGCAACTTAACGATATACTGCTTTTCAAGATGACTTTCGATGATATTTTCTAAAGCGACTGACAGAGAAATCATCACTGAAGGAAGTGATTCAACTATAATTTAGTTTAATCAAAACGAAAACATAAATGATTAAATTTCATGACAGATTAAAGAGTTGTAAAAAATATTAGTTTTTACAATTTGATTCTAATAAATGTATTACATCAACCACTAATTGAGTGAAATTTTTGGGATTCACAGATAAGGTAGAGGATTACTTTATGGAGGTTATCAATTACAACCCATGTTTTTTTCTTTTCTTTAACTAGCTACAATATTATGATTATGCCTTCGTTGTATGTGTTTTAAGACATAAGATTGGTGTTGCATGTATTGCTACACAAGCAGTTAAATGGGCGATCTTTCTCAAGATTCTATTTTCATTTTAGAACCTTTATTACATTGTATCAATTGTTTTTGGTTTTTGAAATAATCGCGAAAATCCAAAATGGTGGGTTTTTGACAAACCCTTATATCTCGGTTATTTATTTTAGACAGTCTAAGGGCACTTTTTTAAGGTCTTTATAATGGGAAATTTATTGTGCGGACAAAAAACGTGACATCGGACGGGCGGACATTTTAAAAAGTTGTTTAAAATTTGATAAGAAGGATTTTGGTACAAAATATTTTTAATTTGGATAAAAATTAAAAATTTTGGTTTCTTGAAAGTAAACCTATAATATGCTCTTCAAGAGTATAATAATAGAAGAAAGTTAGTAGCAAGTAACTTTTTAAGTGGATACCTACAGAATAAAGTTCGCATAGGTCTTTGGTGTTAAGCACATGCTTTAAGTGTATGTATTTAAGATATGAAATGTGTTATTTGCAAAAAATAAAACTATTAAAAAAAGTGAGGAAGTCTAGACGACAGTAGCCTTGGACATTTATTTCAGCTGCAGAAGAAAGGTTAGACTCTTCTAGTAAAAATATTTTATCCAAAAAGGGATTATAAATTATCGGGGAGAACCAAGATAATGTAGCAAAATATATCCAGAGAGAGGTGCAGTAGTTCGCGGAATATTTTTATGTGTAAAAGTAATTAAGAAACCATTTCACTCTTTATCTAGAAACTGTTGACAAACTAGAAGAATTACTTCGGATTTATGGTACATTGAAAGAAGAAAGAGGCTTACAGCGTCACTCTTTGAGATTGTTTGCAAGAGAAGAACGACAGCTGCCAATAACTTTTGGATACAATATTGTATCAAAAGCTTTTATTTGGCAACTTTTGACTACGGCAAAAATAAATAAAGAAAACTCTAGAAATACGGTTAGGTTTGGCCCAGAACACTGCGGCCTCGGGTCTATTGTATTCCCCTGCTTTCCCCGTATTCAGATACTGTCTTTGGAATAGTCCTGTGTCTTGTTAGTTTTAATAGGTTTCCTACCAAGTGTTCCTGGGGCGTTCTTTCCGGTTCTAGGCCGAAAAGGATGAAACGTCGCCCAGTAAGAGCTTCGCATTCGAAGATCACATTGTATGAGGTTTCTTCCTCTTCCATGCAAAGTCTACACGTAGTGGGATCATTGTGTAATCCCATTACATGAAGGTGTTTCAGCAAGCAGTGCCCCGTTAGTAATCCCACAATGGTGGATATCTGAGGCCTTGCGAGTTGTAGTGCCTCAGTAGCCATGCGCGGGTTTGGTCCCCTTAGCATGAGCTTACTGATTATGTGCCCTCTTATCTGTTGCCAGTGAATTTGGTGTTTTATGGTTATCCACCTGTTCACTGCCTGTCAAGCAGAGGTTTTGCTTATCCCAAATACAGGTTCGGGTCCTGTGAATGGTAGATATGATCCCTCTTTGGCGAGTTCATCAGCCTTTTCATTTCCTTGGATACCTTTGTGCCCTGGTACCCACGCCAGTTTTACCTTGTTGTGGGTCGCCAGATCATTTAGTATTCCAAGGCAGTTCCAGACAAGCTTTGACTTAATTCTATTTGAATCAAGAGCCTTTAAAGCTGTCTGGCTATCTGAGAGAATTAGGATGGTTTGTTTTTTGTACTTCTTAAATTCTCTCGTACACACAATTCGATTGCATGTATTTCAGCCTGAAATACGGTGGCATGTTTTCCCAGTGAGACGATGATGTCGCATTTGGGTTTAACTCCATGTACGCCAGAGCCTGTTCCCTTGTTAGTTTTAGATCCATCACCATACGAGACCGCTAAGCAAGTATTTATCTATCTCCTTATTTACCTTTTCCAGTTACAGTTTACCTGGAAGAGTCTGTTAAAGGTTAAAGGTCATGTGATCTGATCCCATATTTAATATAGAATCATTTACTTCATGTGTTATTCTGGTATGTTTTATATGTCCCAGTGGGTTCCAGTTGTTGGAGATTTCCAGTCTGTATGCACTCATTCTGGCCTCCCCTTTTATGACTAGGTCAAGGGGTGGGAGGTTTAGACTGATTTCCATAGAGGCTGTCGGTGTACTTCTCAGTGCTCCTGTAATATAAAGGCATGCCAGCCTCCGTACTCCTGAGTGGGTATTGAGGGCTGTTTTCTGGTTTACTTTTGGCCACCAAACAACCGCTCCATAAATTATCATGGGTCTTGTTATTGCTAAATGTAGCCAGTGGACCATTTTTGGTTTTAATCCCCATGTTTTTCCAAATGCCCGTCTCCCTACAATGAGAGATATTTTACATTTGTTGGTCACTTTTTGTAAGTGTTGGTTCCAAGTAAGTTTGCTATCTAGGATTAGACCCAGATATTTTACTTGGTTCGTTTTGTTTAGCCTTCCTCCAAACAGAGTCGAAGTTTCTAAAACCTCCAATTTTGTTTTTCGAGTAAAGGTTATGAGTTGTGCCTTGTCAGGGTTTACCAAGAGGTTTTCCCTAACGCACCACATTTCTGTCAGCCTAAGAGCTCTTTGCATGAGTTCAAAGACTGTGGTTTGGTGTTTCCCTCGGATAAGGATGTCTATGTCATAAGCATATCCTTGGGCATACAGCCCTTGATTGTTTAGTGTTTTCAGCAGTTCGTCTGCCACTAGGTTCCACAGTAGAGGAGAAAGGACTCCACCCTGTGGGCATCCCCTGTGAATATTTACCTGCATGGTTTCACTGAACATTTGTGCCTGTACTTGCCGTCCGCATATCATGTCTTCTATCCACCAGCAGATGGTGTCTTCTATTCAATGTTTGCGAGCGGCAGCTACCATTGATTTAAAGGAGGTATTATCAAAAGCTCCTTCTATGTCAAGAAATGCTCCTAGGACTATTTCTTGGCTACTGAGTTCTCCCTCTATCTTGGTTACAAGATGATGCAGAGTAGACTCACAAGATTTTCCTGATTGATAGGCATGTTGGTTTGGAAGGACCTTGAAAAATTATTTCTAAATGTAAAGAATATCACTTACCGTTTACTAGATTTGAAACAGCGTTTATAACTGTTTCTTGGAATATTATTATGAATTGCATTCATGCAGTTTGTAAAAAACCTTAACAAGAAGACGCAGATGTTTGATTGGTCATCGATTTGAACAAATCCCTAACTTCATTAATTTTATCTTCCCCTCCATGCATGAAAAGGATGCCAATAAGCTGATTGATTGATAAGCAGACCTACACTGCAAGGGAAAAGCGTACCAGAAAGAAAAAGCAAGATTTCAATAAAAGCGAAGATGATAATGAAAAAGTTCCGTTCGGTGCTAATGATGATTTCAAAATAAAAGTTTTCCTTACAATTGTGGAATGTAGAATAGTGTATTAGGAAGAAGTTAAACTGCCGAACAAAAGCTGCAGATCTATGCGTAGTTAATTCGAAATGCCAGGCTGAATTTCTGCCTAATGGGAAGAGAAAGAAACTGTCTTCTAGAAGTGTGTGTGAAGAGAGGGGTTGGCATCGGACATAATCCATTTGCCACAAACTTTTGGTAAATGTCTATTAGAATAAATTGTTTTAATATTGTTTTAGATGTATGTGTTTATATATTTTTTAAACTTTAATTTGTTGGGTTTTATATTCTGTTGGAATGAAGTTTTAGTTGCATTTTATGGGATTTTTATTAAATTTTTGGTTAAATCTCGTATTTTAAGCGGCAATTTATTTGTGGTTCATCCTGTAGACGCCACATTTGTACATCCGCTCCTGGTTCACGATAACGTTCTAGTGAATATGTTTCAGTCAATGGAAAGACACTAGCTAAACAATTAAATTATTGCATTATTAACGATTAAATTCATTGAATGAATGTAAAAACAGGCATTTAGCGATAACTTTTGTACAATTTATAATACAAGCTTATACAAATGACATTTAATTTAAAGAAATTGTTCTATGTGGCCACCACCTTGATCACAACACATTTGACAACGATTCTGCAGATTGTTTACTGCCCCAATTAATGTGTTTCTATTCAGTGCACGCATATTTCGGGATTTTTCTTCTATAAAATCTATACAATGTGAATTAAAGTCAAATGGATATTTTAATAAAAAAATAAATAAAATAAACAAAAAAATAGCAACCATCCACACAAATTTATTATTATATCTTGTCAATCTCATTTTTTACCCTATATATTTCTGCTCTTCCAGCTGCAGTTTCTAAAGAAGTTAATCACATAGATATGAAACAAACTTTAAAGTCTACCAACAGACTTCAAGACCAAAAGAGCTTCCAAAGCGTTTTCGTCGTACAGAAACAGACCCGCCGAAGACAGTACAGATAGCGAGCAAAATAGCGATAGAGGAAGTAGTGCTAATAGCTATTATAGCAATCGTAAAGAAATTTTATAGCTGCGCCGTGTCTATAAATTGCTTTTATGGTAAATTGGGTGGAAATACCTCGCCTAGTGTTACCGAAGCGCCTAAACACGGCTTCCCAACAGTCTGCAGTTTTCATAGGAAAAACCGATATCCGAAATCTTCATCTGAGACTGTTCAAGATACCCGCGAAAGAGTTGAAGATCCAGTGGCGCTGGTACACGGGTGCATTTTCGAGGAAAAAGAACAAAAGCATTATCGGGAAAGCTTCAGGGGTGGCGGTGACGTTAAAAGGGTGGTGGCGCGATGTGGGGCTTTGCCCCAGGGCGGCGTCCCCGTCTTTAGGCGCTAACCCTACCCACCGTCGGTCAATTAGCAGGAGGGGATCTCTACGATCCATGGGACAATCTTTCAGTATGTGCAAATTCCACTGCAGACATAAAAAAGGTGAGTTTTATTAAAAAAGAATAGAAGTTTTCGTACAGAACTGAAGCCATAATTTATTTATTATAATAAGAGAAATAGGTACGAAGGAATTGCCAAATTAGACTCTTGATTCAAGTTAGTAAAATAGTAAGCATAGGCGGGTAAAATAAAAATTAAAAGTAGGTATAAAAATATGTTATTAAGGCGAAAGTTTAATTGCATTTAATTTTAGTTCCAAATGAATTTGAAAACGATAAAAGTTAAAGGTCTAAGATTTAGTAGACATTTTTTAAATAAATCAGAGCAGTTGCTGACGTTAGTATCAATAATGCAACTTTAAAAACAATAAAAATCAAATTTTAAACTATTATAAACAATTACATATGATTTTTTTACTGTGATACCAAATACAATCACGTTGAAATCAATTTTAAAATCGATGTAATAACGAAGTTAATGGAGAACTACTCGGCAATACCTTTCTCTGCCTTCTTTACCGATAATTTTAGTTCTCGCACTCGTTCATAGACCGAATAACAAACAGCACAAATTTCACAGATTCTATTCAGAATATAGTTTTGATCATTTAAAGCCAAACGAAAGATTAAATTTGTACCATTTTAAGAGTACCTGTAATTAACATATGGCAACATTGACAAATCGCTTTGTATTTGTGACAACATCGTATTTTAGATTTTCTTATTTGGTAATTTTCTTAAAAACTGTTCGAGAAAAATTAGAACTATTATTAATTAGGATTAGAATTTAAATAATATAAAATATGCAAGTGTTCATTAAAAAAAAAATAATGACGTCACAGTTCTGAGAAATAGGTCACGAAAAAATTTATAGCTACTAATTGATATGTTTTTGCATTATTACCGAAATTTAGTTATATTATAGAAGTTTTATGAAATTTATGCATTTTTTATAACACACTGTATAAATGGCTTTAAAAGAAGAAGTTACTTTGGCAATTAGACATTCCAACGACCTGTCAAACAATTGCTACCATTGGGAAAGGTTCGTATATCTAAGGTGGTTGCGACATAGTCTTCCATCTTAGACGTTATTTTTACTCGAAAATTTGAAATGACAATCTAATTATTAAGCTGCGTCAAGACCGCGCCAACGAATGCCAACGAAAGGGCTTCGTTGGCGCGGCATAGACGGTTTAGCGAATACCAATGAAGATTCGCTGGCGTTTGCCGATCAGCCGAATCGTAGCGGTTTTCTTGTATCGCACTGAATCTTGAGAAAATAGGATTGGAAGGGTCGCTATAGGCATTGAGACATTTCCTTAGTGCAGTGGCGACAGAAGGGGGCACAATAGATCTTTTAGGTCGCAGTGTATTAACATCCCATTCTCAACATAACATAACATCGCCCTGAATACTTTATTGAATTTTTGTAGATCGCATGTTTTCAAAATAACATACAAAACGCAACATACCGTAGCAAACTCAGTCTTCAAAAAACTTAAGTTTTCCAATAAAAAAGTATGTACAAAAACAAATGTAGTATTCTCTATCAATTCTTTTAATATTTATTATTGTTTTAAAATTGTAGGTGTTCGTTTTTGGACCCTTCCCCCTTATTTTTGAAATAATATTTGCATTTTCATGGCTATCTATTTATACCAAAAAAATGCACACAATATTGGAATTTTAATATAAACTGGCATCAGTGATTTATATCCACTCAACGCTTTGACCTTACCTCGCTAGCGGAAATAGGTAACATTTAAAGAAAATAGTTTTGAGTAAAATATTTTAATAAACAGTATTGAACGCGGTTGGTTTCCAAGATACGTAACGGTTCTCGGCTCTGATCAGGTCCGTTTTCAACTGCCGTCTTAATAAAAAGTATTTAATAAAGTATGTTCATTACATTTTAATAAAAAAATACTGTTACCCATCACCCTACAGTATGCTGCGGTCGTCATAAGTAAAGGTGCGAGTAAAAGCAGAAGAGAGAACATTCGAAAAATGTCTGGAAATTCAACGTCAAGAAACATCTGGACGTTCGGGAAGGTTCTAGAAGGTTAAATCGAGCTATATAAGTGAGTGGCCATGACCACAGATAATCAGTTTTATGATAGACGTTATACGTTAATATTATCAGTTGAATTATTGTAAAAGTTGAGTTGAAATAAATTGAGATACCGAAAACCAGCGTAACAATACTGTTACAAATATGTAACAATAACAAATACACTATTAATATTTAAAAAATATAAAATATTTTAAACAGAATAAATTAATGCATACTATGTAGAATATATACCCAGGTGGCAAGCGATTCATTTTTATCGAAAACAAAATAGATCAGCCGAGATGCGTTAGTGTTAGAACCAAGGTGAAACATAAGTTGTAAATAATATAAATGATATAATAGGGATGTAACAAAAAATTAAATGGCGACAAAATATTAAATAAATAAAGTTTATAAAAAAGCTAAATATTTATTTAGAATATAATAAAGCCAACTGTGGCCGAGTAAAATACTTATTTTACGCTGCCTGTTCTTTAAAATGTCATATTATTTTTTCAGACTTATTCCCTAGGTTAAGGTTCAAAATACGTTTTCCAATAATTCGAAAAGGTCAAAAGCTTTTAAAACATTTTGTTTGCATAAACCTAACATAAACATCTCAACGGAGTTTTTTTTATTAATTTTCAATATACATCGCAAACATGTATAAAATAAGCTTTCCATATTAAAAATGATCACGTTCGCGTTTTTTACGATGATAAAACAGAGCATAAATGATTAACCGAACGAGTATTCGATCTCGGTCCCGGCCCCTTTATCAACGTCGCGACGCAGTGGGCGTTGCGACGCGAGTGTAACTTATTTAGCCATAGTCTATGCATATAGCGCTCGAACTCATTACAAAGCGATGATTAATAAGAGCTCGGGCTAATCCATTAAGCTTTGGTTATTTCTCGGTATTGAAAAACCAACAAGCGAAGGATCATATATCAGTGTCGGGGCGGGCGGATCGGGTCAAGAAACGATCTGATGCTAATTAGATTTTTTTAAGTAATTACGTTAAGATAAAACTCGTAACGACGGGAGCATTCATGAAAGTCGGGATGGATAGCGAAATTGACATGAGCGATTTTTAATTTTTTTCACTACTTGCGTGGGTCCTACTGACTGCGCCAATTATAACTACACTTATAATCAAATAATCGCAATTAAGACATCAGTATTTATAAACTAAAAATAAAAGATAATTTAATATAATTTAAAATAGTCTATTGTATACAGGGCGTTTCCTAACTACGGTACGAAACTTCAAAGGATGATTCCTTATGTCATTTTATGAAAAAAAGTATCTATAAACATATGTCCGGAGTTTCTTCATTTCTGAGATTAAGGTTAAAAACTATCCATGGACAACATAAAATAAAAACCAAAAATAAACAATATCGACCTTAAAGTAAATGAGCGAAATGACCACATTCTGATAAAATACTCGACTGAAATCGATTTTCATTGATTGTCTGACACGTTCAAAATGTCTGGAGTATTGCTTATGACATTGCAATTATCAATTATCCGATTCCTCAAGTTATTCACATCTAGTACAGTAGGTAGTTTTATAAATAAGAGCCTTCAGATGACCCCATGAATAAAAATATAGAGAATTCATATCGGGACTGCGAGCTGGCCAATTTTGAGGTCCTGCACTTCCAATCTAGCGATTAGTGTAGATGATGTCGAGATACTGACGAGCAAGAACACTAAAATGAGCTGGAGCCCAGTCGTGATTAAACCTGATGTTGGCTCGTACATGTAGGGGTACATCTTGTAACAAAATCGGTAAATCATCTCTCAAAAAGTTCTTGTAGGATTCACCTGTTAATTTTACTGGTAAAAATAATGGGCCGATTAGGTAGTTATCAATAATTTCTACCCAAACTTTTAGCAAAAAATGTTGATAAAAATGACTAAAAATAACGTGGTCATTGTGAAAATTCATAATAGCATCCCGCGAAAAATTTTCTTCGTCCGAAAATACAATCATTGATAAAAAATTAAAACTGTGTGTCATCATATGAATCAACCACCTACAAAACATTAATCTTGGGTGAAAGTCCCGTGGCAGTAGAGCTCGGTGTAATATGGATACAGGAGATTTCCTCCTCCCGGTTTCACTTAATCTTGCATGTATCATTCTAAATATTTTAGCACATAGAATTAGTCTGTGAGAATATATGTCCTGATAAATTCTCCGTGTTTCTTGAGCATTTCCATTTACTTATCCATAAATAAAGTTCATGCCAGTCATCTCAGAATGAGTAAAGTTATTCATGATGCTTTACTGCTAATTGACAACTCTAACGATGTGGAATGTTCGAGAATTCCATGTCTATGACTCTACGGCCACATATCGTTTTTTCTGGTAGTTTCGAGAAGCGATGCGTTTGTTCTTCATACCGCGGGCAAGGAGTAAACAAAGCACAGGGCCGGCTTCCGCGCGACATTTCATACCGTAGTTAGGAAACACCCAACTCTTCACTCCTCAAGTTTAGTAAAGGTAAAGGTACTGCAAGAGATCGGCCTCATTCCTTATGTAAATTAACATGGAAAATCTCCAAGGTTCCAAATAGCGAAAATCGAGAGGTACAATGTCAATCGTCGAGGATCGAAGTCGGGCTCATTAATAAACATGATAACTTCGGTTGGCTTAGCGATCCAAGATGACGGCTATCGTTAACATGAAAAAGTATGCATGGGACAAACGACACTATGAAGGAGATGTATAACGTACGTTCTTTACACTTCTTTGTATCCTCCCCAATCGAAAGAACTTTTGATCTTTTTGGTATTCATATATTATTGTAAATGACATCTAAAATGTTAGTTCAAATTAAATGTCGTTTGCCTCGTTTGAATCGATCATTTGTTAACAAAGATATATGCTTAGGTTCTTTTGATAACAAAATTTATTCTTGTAAAAAATAATAACTAAATGTCGTTCGTCCCATTCCATTCGATCTAATAATAAT